AACAATCTGCACGGTCTTGGTCACCGCGGTACAAACACTACTAACGGTAAAAAAACAGGTACAACAGTTATCACGGTTATCCATCAGACTACACAGGACCCCCTACAGATAGGTGTAGGGACGTGGCGTAGACCCTAGTCCTATTTGTAGGGGGGGAGGAGCGAAATTAAAAATTCAAACTCAGTCTTTGCACATATACCTAATCTTACCTGATCTTACAAAATACATAAATAGGTTAAGCATCGGGGCCACTTCATTATTGGTACAAACCCAGCATGTTCACGTATACACAATATATATTTATTACTCATGAGTTATTCAATATAAATATTTAGGCGATTCACCTCTTCGTCCTTCCCCCGGAGACGCCCCTGTAACACAGACGGATCATAACACCAACAGTCTGAACAAAAAAAAAAAAAAAAAAAATGGCAGTCCTTGGTGGTTTCAAGCAAGTATACGGGCGACATATTATATTATACATCAGTGAGCTGTCTAGAACAATATTATCTATATCTGTGCCAACAATAGCTAGTTTGCTCGCCTCTCTATTTCAAAGCGGTTTATTTTTTGACCAATTTGTTATATTGATTAAAATAACTATTTCGATGCGAGTCTAAATGACAATGTCTATTGCGCAGTGGTTGCCAGTTCCATGTAAAAGCCATGTTTCTATTTTCTACTTAATAAAAAAAAAGTAGATTAGATTTTATAATAAATGTGACGTCCGGCCCTACATAACTCACACCGGCGACAAGTGAAATTTCGGCTAATGCTTGTGTGTGTGTGTGTAACGGTAGATATGGGTATCAAAAATAAAAAAATAAAAAAAAAAATTCTACTTTGAAACCGACGTCAAAATATGTAATATTAATGAACGCGTATATATATAGGTACAATGTGTGGCCTTTCACGAGTATAAATAATAAAGGTAGCAAAGGTAAATATATTTTTACCCGTCATAATGTATAGGTACCTATACGAAATAAGCAAAATGGTTCCGCCGCCACTGTGGCCTAGATCGCTGCAAAATGCAATAGGAGGTACTGTGTTAATATTTTATTGATAACTTTTGATTAGGAAATCTCGTATAAATTGTTTATATAATAACGCACGATTTGAACAATCCCGTTAATATGCGGTCCAACTGTGAAGTGATATTACAATAAATAAAATTTTTTAATATTGCTAGATATTATGGTACCTATGTAACGTAATATCTCGGTTTTTCGTTCATGAAATATTATAATTTTAATCGAAAAACGACAATGGATTTTACCAGACGCGTTTTTAGCGTTTTGCTTGTTGCAAGTATTTTTAGTTATTATTAAAAAAAAAAAAAAAATACACACGGGGTGTCTAACCGTGTGTGTGCTCCTGGTGCAGAATAAATTTTTTTCCGTTCCAAAATTTTGGAAATTTCTTTCGCGTTCGAGGGCTGCGTAAAATTGCGTGGTTGTTCAAACATTGTCGGTAGACGCAACAATATCAAACTCAAAGTTCACAAACGATATTATCTTTCATATCGCGAAAAATATAACAAACAAAATTACTATAGATAAATTTCAATTCGTCGTTTTAGCACACATTTTTACCGATTTTATTTAAAAAAAAAAAAAAATTATAATAAACAAACGTTATCGCAACGTTTTTTTTTTTTTTTTAATCGAAAATACAGTATCTATACGCAGACCGCATGATAATGATACACGACTCGAATTTCATCATTGTGTATACATAAACATATTTAAAAAACATATTTTCGTATTGGTATCATGCACAGGTATACGCGGTAATACAGACCGTCGGACACGAATAGACACCGTGCGTAATAATGTAACGCGCATTTCGGTTTCAAAAAAAAAAAATAATATTAGCCGGACACGCATATAATAGTTCCGAAGTTTACACCCTACCGATTCTTTTATGTTTTATTAACGTTATTAATGAACCCAAACATTGAGCGCGTGGCGGCGGCGGCGGCGGATTCTTGAATAGTGGCCGCCGGACCCTCCCATCCCCCCCCCCCCACCCGACCGCCGGTGGGATATCCATCACGAGCTTCCACCCTACGCGATACGTTTTCGGAAATCACCTGTCAAGACATAGGGGGGATGGTGATTTTTTTTTTTTTTGTTACAAGACGTTAAGGTCTACACACACACACACACACACACACACACACACACACATATATAATGTATATAAGGGGAAAACACGCAAAATGGGAAAACCAAAAGACTTTTCGTGTTTTTAATCGACAGCGTACGCTGCACTTTCACACAATAGCTCCGTAATGCGACGTGTGGTTAGGTATATAACACTTTGCTATACATTACAACTTTCCCCTTTAAACACCGTCTGTGCGTTTCCGGTTATGAAAAACTCAACTGACAGACGCGTCCGGTTAGTTGTGCATTTCTGGTGCAGAAGAACGAAAAGACGTTCTGTGTACGACGCATTGCGCGTGGTGCGTATTAAGATCGGGCGCGAGATAAAATTCGAAATGATATAATATTTTATTTCGAGTTTATAAAAGGGGGAAAAAATAACCCTGCTGAAGATTTTTCATGGAAAAAAAAAAAAAATAAAAACAACTGGTGTAATTATAATTTTCAGATTATAATAATGTTTTGATTGACGCGTTACTTTTAAGTTTTTATTATCGTACTCAGACACTTATCAGTACTATTATAAATATCATTTAAATTATTTTATATTCCGCGGTATTAAACAAGTTAAAATGTTAAATAATTAATTTTTATTTTCCATGTATACCGTTTTTAATAAAATTATTAAAAGTTCAAATTTTAATACTTAATCGTGTTGGTTTAGGTACGGCGGGCCCGTGGTAATAACTTCACTTAAGTTGTTAATAGGATGAAATTATGTATTTTAGATCCCGAGTATATACCGAAGAAGCCATAATAATTAGTTTTACAACGCTGTGTTTTTTCTCTCTCGGAAAACACCTTATTCGTTGTTAAAAATGGTCTGATTTTTTCGCGCAACGCTTCAAAAGACGCTTTAATTTCCAGCTTACGGTAGTTTATTCGAAACATTTATCAAAAACTACTACCGCGACTATTATAGTATTCCGATCAGAATCGTCTGCCGTTTGCAACAATTTAGCAGCAACAAAAAATATCAACTGAATCATCCCAGTACATGTATTATATTATAATCCTGCATTCCGAACATCCTGACCTGCAAATGAGGGCCCAGAAATGATTGAAGGCGATAAACAATTAAAATTGTTAATACTAATACTTAATTCGGTCTTATTTCATTAGGCTGCAGTGCCTACTATTGCTTTTTTAATCACCGTTCGAGAATATCGCATTGTCTTACTTGATAATCTCTTTGATTATTAGGATTATGTCGTATGATTATAATGATTTTACTGATGTTTATTTCAATATACTCAAAAGGGAGAGCGGGGGTATTTAGCTACCTATCTACAACAGTGGCCCAAGTCTATATCTGGTGGCGAGCAATGCACAGTTTTTTTAATAATTATTATTAATTTGGTTTACACTAAATAAAATTGATTTCCTAGTTCCTACTCTAAAATGAAAAAAAACATATAACTTGAAAAAATAATTCATCGTCAATTCATTCAAAATTAAAAATATAATATTTTATTAATTATACAAAAAAAATAAAAAAAATAATCCATTGAAAATCAATGATATCAGTTATCATTTGTATATTTGACGTTTGTCATTATCGAATAGGTTATACTGTTCGTTACCATTTCAAGCCATTATCATCGAGATGCCGTTTATATCACGGTTATATATATAACTAAATTGGTAACTGACGAAGTGATACCAACACTAAACAATTTCTAAACAATATTATCACTGAAATAACGCGCGTTTCTTTTTTTTTTGTTTTTCCTAATCGAAGGAACGTAAATTCGCGTTCACGTTCCACATGAATAGGAACTCTCTTTCCCGTTCCTCGTCCCTATACTTGAAAAGGAACGCGTTTCAAGCCTCGTTCCCATGGAATGAACGCCTTCCTTCCCGACACACGATGTGTACAAATAATATAAATAATATGCTATTAAATGTATTTAGTGTTTTGATATCTGTTGACAAACTGAAATGGAAATACTGTACTCTAATAATATAATATACTATCAATTTATACATACACGTATTCGCTATATTATACTGCAGTTTACCGGACGGAAATATAAAGAACAATGTGAAATTGGTCAGTCGGCTGTGCACGAAAATGCAACTGTTCTGTACATATCGATATTGGATATAAGGAATATGAAAATGCGTTCGGGCGGGAAAAAATGATATGGAATCTATATCACAAAAATTCGAAACGATATGACATTCTCAACGCGTTCGTTTGAAATTATAAAATATTATTGCAATTGCGCTGGTGTAAAAATAGTTTCGAGGTTGCGAGATGGCACCAGTGTTAAAGGTTTGATTTATCAAAGGCTGATTAAGGTTGATAACAGTTGGTAATAACACGTTATCGGTAATAATCCGGGCCCGTGACTTGCAGCGTTTCGGCAATACTCGGCAATTCTGTCGATAAGTAGGTCTCGTCGTAAGTATTGTCGGACGAGTATTACCGCGCTATTTTCCTTTTGCTCGAAACAAATGAAGTCGTTACCGGTTTCTGACGTGACATCAAACTTGTTTTTTGTTGCATATTTTAACATTTTTAGTGCATATACTCGGATAAGCGCTTGTATGAATGCTTCAAGAGCATACCATTGCGCTGGTAACAACTTTTTTCCGGCTTACAAGCGACGAGTACTGGTAATAATGAACTAAACCAAATCGAAACTCGCCAAATCGCGCTAAGAACTAATAATATTTTTGCAAATAAGTATTTTTCACGCGGATTATTTCGTTTATTATATTTCTGTATTACAACGGCAGTAGGTACACGGAAACGCGGGACCTCCTCCTCCTCGCGTCGGGCCGTATATCCTCTTCCTCCTCCTCCTTGTCGCGTCCGAACAACTACGGTCTCGGTGCATTTGTTACGGGACGGGCGGGCGGGCGCCGTTTAGTGTACGGCTGCGGCGAACGGTGCCTACTGTACGCGCCGTCGGTCGACGGCACCTGACGGACGCGGGCCCGCGCCGTCGTCCGCCGGTAATCTCTGCGTACGGCCGGCGGTGTCACGGGCCGGCGTCCCGGGAGAAGAGGCGATTCTCCCGAAAGCCGTCCGCCACCGGGGGTTTCGGTTTTTCCCTCGGCCCGTTCGCCGTCCGAAGATAACGCGTCATCGACCGGCGACGGATGTCTGTACGCGTTTTTCGGGCTTTGGCCGTTTGGCCACCCCGGTTTCCCGAACATTTCGCCGGACGTGCTCGTGGACCCGTCTCGGTTCGCCCCGGACGCGCGCGGCAGCAGTACGATTTCGGGCGCTACCCGAATGCGCCCGATAACAATCGCGGAAAATCGGAAACGTCTTCCGCTATACGGCGTTTCGTTACACACCTGAAAGTGACGTGCGGTTCGCCCGTTCACGCCTGCCGACGGTTCGCACGCCGCCTTCCGGTATAAATATTCCCCGAGAATAACGTCTCGCGTCGAACGTGTTTGCCACCGCGGGCCGATTCGTTAGCCCGATTGTATTTTCCGCGCGGTCAGGTTGGGTAGTACCGCGTTTGAAAAATCGAAATAAACACGTAGGTACATGGCGGGCACCTATAGAAAAAAAAAAAAAAATAATACAATAATGGTGTAAATAAAAAAAATTTATATTCTCTTTCCGAAGTCCGATAACGGTCGGATTCAATACGGGTTTCCCCGTGGTTTTCCCATTATGTTCGTGATTTTCAATCATTTTTTTCAAAGTTCAGAGAAAAGTGCCTATAATTGTGCATGCAGCTGGCTTGCAATCGCGTTCGCCAAATGAATTATTACTATCGCGACTGTTACATTTCTGTTCCCTGAACTTTTAAAATTGTTAATTGAAAATCGCGAATTTAATGCGAATAAAAAGTCGAGACGTTAAAATTCAACTCTATAAAATGGCTGTATTCAAATTTTCCAAAAATAATAAAATAAAAGGTTATTTTTTTTTTTATTTTCTATTAAAACGTAAAAAACTAATTGCACCATGAATATTTGTAATCCCTATCCCTGCTAGTAATATATATGCAAAAAAAAGAAAAACAGAATTTGATTATTTTTATTATCACCGGAGATGTTAAAATGGATGCATATCTTCGTATTTCTTCAGTTTTTTTTTTTTTTTTTTTTTATTTAAACGAACGGTAAATTCACGGTAAAAAAAAAACCCCCTGTAATATTGTAATTAGATAAATACGATTTTTTCTCTAAAGGCGTGTATTAAGTAAAATGTTTGATTTACGAGAACGTGGAATTTACTTTAAAGTACAACCGTAATAGTAGTTATGGATGCAAAACAGATTTTTTTTTTTTTCCCCCGTACACCCGTGAAACTTAACTCGAGTCGTCAAAGACAATAATATATTGTCTATCATTATAATATACTGAAACTTGAACGTTATTACTTTTCGACCGTTTGAACAGCTAATATTATATAATTTTTTTTTAACAAAACCGTTATTTCGCGAATCGCTATTTGTTAACATAATCGAACGTTGTTTTACTTGTGACGGAACCGCCGTCTTGACACCGCGATTGTTGATCACGAATGTTACGCTCATGATTATTCGGTTTGGACAATACAACTACGTAACATCGTATGAAAAAACTGTAATATTAAAAAAAAAATAACAATATTAATAACTGGTATAATACGTGAAAAAACAAAAACAAAATTTAACTGTTTAAGTTAACGCCGAATTCGGAGAAAACCAAAAAAAAAAGTAAGTGTAGAATTAAAATGCGTCAACAATGATATCGGAATATTTATTATTACAATTTTACAGAACCGACAAGCGACGATAATGCAAACGGTTTCGAATTGTCGCTTGGACGCAAAATCGTACTGTCGAAAAACAAAACGCGAGACCGAATCAATAGAAATTATGTAGCCTTTATAAATTATATATTAAATAGGCGATGTCAACGAATAATAACACCGTACACTTAGATACCGTTCGGACGACATCGTATGTATCAAATGATACTCAAACGATAGGTTCGTTACATCTGTACGCACGTTGAAACAATACGTATACCATACTGTGTATAGTTACAGACGGGGAGACAAGAGTTCCTGACACGTATACAGAAATGTGCGGACCCATACCCGCAATACGATTGATTGGCGATAACAGTGGCGGATTTTCAGACAATGATATGATTTCAATAAAATACCGTCCGAAAAAGAGGCGTTTATTCGGTAGAGACACCTTTTAAATACGTGCGATTTTTCAGGACCACTGCCAGAAAAATGTTGAAAATGTCCGCTACTGCTCGACACGACGATAATTATCGCGAAAAGTATTAACTTTTTTCGGACGATTTTATAAAACGAGCGGGTTTGATCAACAATAATTCATTTTCATTTAAAAGTCGTATATTCTCAGAATTACATATGTTCAACCGTTGACAGTTTATTAAAAAAAAAAACGGACATATTTCGTACGTGGGTAGGCCACTGTTGTAGGTGAGAAGTTGGGAAGGTAGTGGGGAAATTGAATGTTTATCTGTATGCAACGATTAACCATTGTTGACGAATGAAATTCGATTTTTTAAAAATGTCTTCTCACTTTATTACAACTTTTATTAAATATTCGAGTACCTATATCGTTTATTCGTGAACATAACTTTAGTCGTGGGCACGTTTCCCGTGTTCGTCATATTCAACCTCATCGATTTGTCTGTGTTTCCAATCTTCTCATTCTCATCAGATATTGTTTGGACGTAGTCTTGGCTGCTTGTGAAGTTATCACTGAATGTTTGTTTGGATAAACAATATAGGACATTATTATTTTACTGTACGCAGTATTCATAATATAGATCAAAACATGTTATAGAAAACACATATCGCATATAGTGGTGTACAGGCTTATGCCACTGCAAGTATAGGCGAAAAGTTGGACGGTCTAGGTAATACTACTGGGTAATTATCTAATTTATGCACTTAAGGCATCGACAAATCATTGCAAGCGTAATACGATTCAGAATGGAATATGGTTGAAAACTGGTTTCTATATTTAAATCAAAAATGTGTTCATTTGTAATTACTAAATACAGGTATACTATATTCAGTTAATTTTTCATAGTTTTTTTTTAAAACCATCATAAAACCATTTATTTGAAAACGAAAAATTATGAACGATAAAAAATAAAATACTAGGTATCACTTGGTAAATAGCTTCATGAGTTACCTATCTCGTATTCTCGTATGGAGACTAATTATACGCAAGTATTATAGCATTTGTGTACGGGTAGGTAGATTTTGAAATTTAAAACACTTATCGTTTCATAGTAGAGTTAATCAGCTCGTCACGAGGCATAGTCATATTAATTGCATTATGTACGACGTATCCATTCGTTCATTCGCATTAATATCTACTTCATTAATTAATTATCTGTATTATATACCTACCAAAGATGAAAAGTAGATTAATCGTATATAATTAGTTCTTCCGGAGCTACAGTGCCTAAAATGGTAACACAAACAGATGATTTTAAATTAAGTATTAGGTAGGTGTCAGAAACATATTTGTGTATTTTCTCTCGGAGAGGTCTTGTACAAAATAAAATTTAAAAAAAAACCGGGTTTCGCGACAATAAATTAAACACGTACACACAAACACACACACACACACACGCGCGCGCGTATCCCTTTAATATAGTCGCATTTAATAAGCCAATAATAAAGGACGGGAGTGTTTCGTTCATATTATTATAATGCAAATTGGATTCTTTAAGATTTCGAGGGTTTACGCCGTTGTGCTTTTTTTGCAGCGCGTTAAACAAATTTGTTGAACATTTCCAAACTCATCTTTTAAACATAATTATATATGTATATGTATATATACACACACAACCGGTATAATAATAATAACACAAACAACAGTAAACTACTATTGGCATAGTGCTCCCCGGAGCATAATTTGAGTTATAACAGTGTATACACGTTGCGCAAATATTCATAAGATGATTGCTAATTTGAATAGATAAAAGCTGTACGTTTAAGTATTATCATACTTATGGACCTTACTTAACCAAACCTAACCGACCTATGTTTATAAAATATCAACTAGTATTAAAAAAAATAATTATTTCACACCTCCATAAAATGCAAACGGGCAATTTTTTATGCTAAATAAATACAAATACCAAAATGAAATCATATGACAATATATTAGATTTATGTACTACCTATACATAATTATTATTTGTATTAAGAAGAAGCCCGCATGTGCTGTTTCCGTCTCAGAAAGACCAGTTTTGTACTGTTCGTTTTATTATTGAAGTAATCTGTGTATAACTAGGTACGTCGTGTTTTTTATCTCGATATCTTGATTTTCAAATAGGTTGCTATAATCTTAATTCTATATAAATAGATGGAGTTTTAGTTTTGATCGATTTCAGCGTTAAAATTTGTAATTTCCGAAAATTAATTGACGAGATATTTCATTTTTCATTTTGTGTATAGGGGGAGAGTAGAACATCAATTGTATAGTGATGTGGTACGTATTATAATCTTCTCTTAATCAAACTTAAAAGTGGAATGTCTCACCGGATTTCTGGAAATTACTCTTTTACGAGTTGTAGAATATTAAAAATGTCAACACCAAAATGTATTTAAATTAAAACTTCAACGGTTTATTGAATTTATCAAAAGCCGGTAGTGGTTTCACCATAAAAAAAAGAAGTGTTATAATTAATTTTAATCAAATAAATAATATATATATATATATAATATAAGTTATTATTATATTTTTATTTTGATGAAGGTGGGATTATTTTTTGAAGCCCCTTAGCTATGTTTGAAAAAAAAAATGAGCCCTATTTGAGTTTCCTAGAACAATTTCTTCTGTTTATTCTGAATTTTATTTATATATTTTTTCTTACATGGACATTATCGAGAAGATACTTTATAAAGGGGAAAAAAGTATATCAACCATTCTATGCTACTATCATTGTGTTAATTATTAATTTTTTTGGGTTTCCTTGAATTTGGTCAAAATATCCAGAAAATAGATAATTTATAGCGTGGTGCATTTTTGAATATCGACTGAAAATCGAATATGGATCATTGTGTATAAACTAATGGTATAAACATTATTAATAATTAATCGATTAACAAAAATTCAATTAGATAATTATAATAATAAATAATTTATATTTAAATCATTAAAGTTTACAAAAATTTAAGTTATTATACATGCTTTACTATAATA